TCCTTAATACAATAAATAGAAATTACAAGAATTAAAGAAGAATATATACTTGCCTGAATTTAAATTCAATAACTTTGATGAAGTCTCCTTGGAATCGGGATAAACTGAAGACGGTACCGTTTTTGTTAATTGATAAGCGCAAAATTCTGCGCTGAGAATTATGTCTCCCCGTTTGGTCTTCTCATCATCTTCGTCATCTTGGAGATTCTTCGCATCGCTCGTCCGCTCATTGTTCAAAGATTCGTCTGCTAGATCCTCGGGCTTCTCCTTATACGTCTCATCCATCCCCTTGCACGTACGCGGTGGGTCCTGGTTGTACCGACAGGACTCTAATTTCAATTGCGTTATGATAAAACTTACTTTTCCAAAAAGTTTGCTTCGACGCAGTGACTGGAATGTCTTGCGAATTCTGAGCGATAAGCAACTTTCGTAAATAGGCAATTTTTTTATTCATGCTTTGTGCGAAAATGATTAAAATTAAATAAACGTGCGAAATGAAAACATGAAAAAATAAGATTAAAATAAAATTGAATTTTAATTTTTAATGTACCATAAATTCTTCCGCATTTGAAGCCGTCGATGAGATTTCGAGACTTTTAAAGTGATTAGATCCGGCGTTGTCACTTTCTGAAATAGAATATCGGAAGATAGGGAAAATAATATATCTTCGATTTATTTCTACACAACACGGTTTATAGGAAATTGATAAACTTAAAATATATCGTAAAATAAAAGAAGTAATTAAATACTTTATCTTGAAAAAAATTGATATACATCTGAAATACTTTACCGAAGAAATCCTCTTTTCTTGTATCACTTTTATTTTCGCAGATCGATGTGGAAGGCGATTCGAGAATCATCGAATCTCTGGAAACACATTACCAATTTTTTATACGATTGTCAAGTCTGCACGAAAAGAACGATTTTGCTAAAAATTTAGTCAAATACAGATCTGAAAATAATTTTATTTCACCATCAAAATAATTATGTAGAAAATTCGAACATAAGCAATGTTACAAAAATTTGAGCATGAAATATAATATATACTTATTTTGATTATAGTTTAACTTATATATATTAAATCTATATTTACTCTCTAAAATTTTTAGAGTGAAAACTTACTCTGAAAAGTAAAATTTTACTCTTAAAGATTGAAAATTGAGTTAATCTTTTTTAAGACTAGTTCAATTTTTACTCTTTAAAGTGAGATTCCACTCCAAAGAATTTAGAAAAATAGATTTAGCTAAATTTTTAGACACTTCAGCAAAACCGTTTTTTCCGTGTGCTTAAAGAAATTGATTTGAAGTTTACCTATTTGTTTCATCACCCGATTCATCCCAAATATCTCGATTCCATCCAATTGAACGGTCAGACTTTACAGAATCGCCGGAATCTGGAATTGAGCGTCGCGCCTTCTCGGTCCATCCTATGGAATCGTCGTCTTCCCTGCTTTCTTTGCACCAGCTCGACTCCCAGTTCGACTTGTCATCATCCAACGAGGTTCTTCCGTACCAGTCCTCAGATACCGGGAAGTATTCTGGACTCGGACTGTTCTCGCTCGAGCAAGCCTGCAGGCCAATCTTCGCGATATTCCATCGTTCATCGTCTTCATCGTCTTCGGTCTTGACCAAGAATACTGGCGAAGGTTCATGACTCGATGTGACTGTGCCAAGAGGAACGGCGATACTAGTAGTTTCGCTGGCTGCGACGGAGTACACTGGCGTTTGATGAGGTTGTACTCCTGCCAAGGGACTGGCAGTCTCTTCAATAACATCCTCGATGTCGACAATCATCGCCTCTGGCTCGGAATCTTCTACCGCTGTATCCTCCGGATCTTTGATCCCCTGTGAATTATCTGCAACAAATGGATGCAATAAATTATTAGTAACTGATCAAAAATTAAATGATAGCACAGGTATGGTTTAGATAAATCAGAAATAAATAAACTAAAATATAATATTTTATAAAATTAAACTATACTGTAATTAAGTAAAGATATGAAACAACGCTTTTAAAAATTAATTAACTAATGTAAGCGGAGGTAGCAAACTGATGTTATTTATTTTGACGTCAAAATAACAATAAATAATGTTAACTTTACAAGGAATATAGAAGTCAATAAAAAATTAAAATAACTTTATTTTAATTTTTAACAGTCAAATTTTGTAACCAAAATTCATCATTTTAACTTTCTTTTGACTTGGTGTATTCCTTGAATTGTTACTCGGAAGATTATTTGAGAATGTTAAAACATAAAAGACGTTAAAGACAGATCACATTAGTAGAATAGTGTACTTACTAGGAACCGGTAAAACATCTATCCGATTATCGTCTTCGAGCTTGCCTGCAGAAGTAAGAGATTGGAGACTCGCGGAGCGACGTAATGTAAATGATTCGTCGCGAAGGCTGCCTTCGAAGACACTACCGTCAGATTTAGATCGCTTCAGAGTCCAGTGATATGTATGATTCTTGCCTGTAGAATTACGGAATAACAATATTTTAGCAATTGTTATTTCGGAATATCAAATTTTTCAAAATTACTTAATCTTACTCATCGTACTTGGCTCTATCAATGCAACTTTGCTCGAATCTTGCGCGAACGGCGTGTAGCCCGGCCCCAAAAGGCGAAACGTGGAAGATCTCGGAGATATTCCGCGGTATTTCTCCCAGTCGTACAGTTTCCTCGTAAATTCTCGAGATATACCCTCGAAACGGTAAGAGCCGACAGACGTGCGAATCAACACTTCGTTACCACAATTTACGCCTCGAGACGCAGCCATGAATCTTGAATCAACCGAAAAGCTTAGTAATTCGCAAAGCATAATTAACTAATTCTATCATCATGTGAAAACTACTTCATTTCACTAGGACTCAATGTACCAAATAATGAGTGTGGAGTTCTGCTTTAGATAATGCAAACTTTTATTATAAAACTATTCATTTTTAAATAAAACATTAACGTAGCGATATAATTTAAAAATCATTTTAAATAATTGCAAATCTATTTTATTCACATATGGAATGATTTAAAAAGAGATAGCGATGTTTGTCCAGGAATATGTAAATTGATTTGGAACTATTCCTGCAAGCTATATTTAAGGTCGTTAATTACGGTACAGATTTGTGTTACGTCATAATAATGAAAAAGCGTGATATCTCTCAGATGTTCTTTACATCGTTCGAACTTTCATACCTCGAATCACCATCAAAGCAATCATTCAGCTGCTTCGCATCGCTCTCTCGAAGTTCCTTCTTGGTTCTCTGCCCAAATAGCAGAAGCAGCTTTTCCAAAGCAAGAAACTCCGTTTCGTCAATGTCAGACGCAACACGATTTGTCATCGGTGATTTCGGTCTTTCGCCACTTCGACATGAGGCCTCACTCATTCTCCTCCATGCCTCCATTCTTTTGATGAAATCCTCGCAAAGATGTTGCTTCCCATCGCTCCCGAAGCTCCCCGTGCTGCCGATACTCGCGCAGCTTCCGCGCGAGCCGATCGAGTTCTGATTTTTCTATCGTGCGAAAAATATCGAAAAAAATATTCAGAAATGTTCAAATCAGAAAAAAGGCATGTAGATCGTATTAATTCTAATATGAAAGAGATCTTTTAGATGCGCAAAGTTTTCGATTAAAAATAGCTTCTAATCTTCTATCTTAATTAGAAGATTATTAGAATCAAAGCAAAGTTTAGTTTTCGTGTAGTGAAATTTAATTTTTCATTAAACTTACTAGAAGACTTGATTTTCTTAAAACGAGAAAGTCAAGCTAATATTATGCAACACAGTATAATAAAGTAATGGCAATAAACCGAGCAAATATACATGTAGTAATAAAAATATAAAAATAATAAAGAAATAATAAAAAAATAATTAATAAATATTAATTTGTAATAAATTATATTATTTTTTAATTTTTTATCTACACTTGCTTGTTTTTTGGTCATATTTATCTTATATATCTTTGGTTCTTTTCTTTGGATTGATTATAAATTCAATCTCGATTTCAATCTCTAGTCTGATATGGGCACATAAAGGATGAAGATTTCGATATTCGGCAATAAATCGTCTTAAATTTTACAAGATTACAGCTTTAATCCGGCAGCCCTCTCTTTTCTCAGAATACTTGTTATTTTTCACGCAAATGTTCGCAAGATCAACGTACGCCATAACATCTGGGCTCAGGTTTCGACGAGGAAGAGCGCCAGAGCTGCCAGTCGGTCAACCGTCGACGGCTGACGCGTTGCTGCTCGATAGCCGCGCTGGACCGACGACCTTTCTTCGCTCGTTTCCAATCCTGTAGCTTTTTCCTAAACTCGGGCGCGAGACGCTCCTCGTTCAACGGCAGGCCATTACGAATGTTCTGCGGACTCTTCAATCGCTCCCATTCGATCAGCTTCCGATGAAACTCTGCACCGAACTTCTCTCGCAACGCCTGATAATCCCTGCGCGCTTCCCGATAGTGGTTGCCGTTGTTGTTGATACCTGCAACGGTTTTACCGAGATCCTCGACGCTTTCGCTAAGGCTGCGAGCTCGGCGCGTATCTGCGTTTACAACGAAGACATTTTATGCAGCAACGAGAAGCGCATAATAAACATGCAGAAGAGTTAAGAGAGAATCTTCGCGGTTCTTTCAGGTAGATTAGTCGTGTTTCTCAAGCGGAGTTTAAAGCTAGAGAGATGGAAGAGCTTATAGAAGCTTGATGACAGACATTGATTTTAAAAAAAGACAGCAACGTCTATCCGTATATTATATTGAAATTATTCTCGCGAAATGAATTTAATAGCAATAATAATTAGAGTCTGATTTGTAACTTTAACGTTACATTATCGTCATTATTGTCATCGTGCTACATTTTATCATATTATTGTTTTGCTACAACAAAACAATTTGAAAATTACCTATCATTTTTTTTAATTAATTCCATTGAATACACTTTAACATCTTTTAAAATCAGACTTATGTCTTTTGTTTGTCATGTACGCATAACCGGTACAACAGTTACTATTTTTGTTTCGTTTTGACAAGAGCATGTGACACATGTGCAACTGGCATGTTGTCAAAAAATTTTCAAGTAGGCTGTCAAATTCTGAATAATGTTGCGAGAAATTCGTTGCCCGTTTTTCACTTCAGTAATAAAGTATCACAAAACGGCAAGTTTATCAAGTGGTCTGAAAATAAAACTCGTTTAACCTCCGAGCAACACCAAAAGAGACTTGAACAATGTCCGTCGTTCGAACAAATTTGCTATCAAAAGTTGTTTTCCAAACCAAAGCCTAATGTAAATGGCAAATTATCTAATTGTTAATTAAACGCTTCCTCAAATTTTTTAACAAAAATGTGCAAATAGGTTAAGTGAAAATTTAAAAAATTTTATTTCTTATATAAATCCTTCAATAATTTATTCAAAATAATTTTGTGTTATTAAAAAAAATTAACTGACCTTTAAGTTATCTCTCTCTCTCTCTCTCTCTCTCTCTCTCTCTCTCTCTTAATATTAAAAAATTAAGAGATTATAACTCAAATGTTTGATTATTTAATAAAACTGTTTTGTAAAAGCGAAACTCTTTTCTAAAAAAATTATCTTAGAATTTTTAACATATATAATATTATTATTTATTAATGTAATTTCTCATAAAGCGTAATAAATTTTAGTGCAAAACAATTACAGCCAGTGACGATTATTTAAAGGCACGACAATTTTTAAAGCTTCATATTAAGGATTTGATAAAATTCGTGGACAATGAATCGCAATTAATTACGAACGACATAAAGAATCGTTTGGATAGCAACAGAGCCGCTCGTGCGACTCAATTAGAGAATCTCTTTAAGAAGACGACGGAGAAACTGGACGAACTGATGAAATTAGACGTTTCTTACGGCAGCTGGATGCGACAGATGATGTTGCTGCTTAATGACGAGATAAAACGATCTTTTGACGCTCTGGAACGAGTGATCGGTTCAAACGAGAAGCGTATAGCGTCTATGTTAAAGAAATTGCAAAGTGACGTGTCGATCTGCATAGAGAGCGCGGAGAGAAATCTCGCCGTATGTCGCAAACATTATCTTCCTTTCGATCTCACGAAATGCACGAAGGAACAGTCGGATAAAGCGACAAAAATGCTCGATCGGATGAAGGAGGAAGCGCGTCGTAAGTTCGAAGAGATCGCCAAGTTTCGCGAAACAGTTCTGAGAGCACATGAGATAACGACGCAGGAAGCGATAGAGATTAACCATAAAAAAACAATGGATTTATTAAAGTACCTGGAGAAATGTATCGTCAAGCTGAAGAGTTCGAACAAGTAGCGCAAAAAACATGGAACTGAGAAATAGATAAATAATATATTGTAATATAAATTTGTTAAACAAATTCTAGACGTGAATTCTAGAATTGATGACTGGAACAAAATAATTCATTTTCAATTAATTGGTCCCAATTATCAGTTAATAATTAATTTCATTTCCATAATTAATAATTAATTTCAATCAATTAATTTTTAATTAATTATTTAATTTAGTTAATCAGGCAATCTTAAAATTGCGAACAATTCGGGGAAGTCAGCCTCAAAATTCTGTTTCAAACTTCAGAAATAAATGTGTAACAGAGCCGTTTATCTTCGCGCGCCTTTGTGATTGGATACACGTACATAATGTTTCTTTTAAATAAAGATTTATGGCACAAAAGTGTAAAAGACTTGACAAGAATCAGTTGTAAACCTACTGGACGTTGAAACGAGACTCTAAAATTGTAGGGATCGAATTATTTTAGGCTTTTGAAAAAGATTTAGTTCAAGAATATATATTGTATTACAAATTAAGTTTTTTTGCATTAATATCCAGTAAACATGAACTAGCCATAACATAACAAAAAATTATAACAACGTTACAATTTTTCGTTTTATAATGTTGTGTCAATAAATTGTGCTGCTAGATAGTAGTAATATTAATATTATAATTTTTTACTCAACAATATGAATGTAATACAACACATATCGTACGTAAGAGTTACATTGTTGAGTAAAAATTATAACATTATTATGTATTTATGACTGTTACGTGTGTTGTATTATATTTATATTATTGAGTAGGAAATTATAATATTAATGTAACGTTACTATTATCCTAGTAGCGCAATTTATTGACATAACATTGGCCCAATATATCTCCAATACATGCCAATATTTAATCAATGTCTTGCCAATAAATTGTGTTACTTGGATGGTTAATGTTTGCCGGATAGAGCTTCTTCACGATTAATACATACATTTCCTAATGTTATTAGTTCAGAGATTAATGCTAGCTCAGAATTCACAAAATGTATGTTGGTTTAAAGACGCGTTTTCTGGGAAGCTTCACTAAATTCTTACCATCGTTCATGAACGATTGCGCTGCGACCACTCTAATCGGACTTGGAGGAACGCTGAAAGTGGCATTTGTCAGAAAAGCACGTCTGACCTTGTTCCATTTCGAATCTTGCTGTTGTATCTTTGGCGCTGGCGTTACCGCTTCCTCGATCGTCGAATACTGGAAGCAAACATCACATTATACGTGTCACGACGACGTCCGCGACAATCATTTGGCAAGAGAAAGCATCGCTGCGGAATTCAGAGGAAACGGTTATTTATTACGTGGTCGTAGGAAGCATTATTTTCTACGTGCACAAAGACAGTGCGTTTTGTCCAAATGTCGCAAGCGACACATCCAATGTAGAAGATAGAAAGAAAAAAATCCGTTTTGAGCGAATGTTAAGTATATGAAATTGATCACTTGACGCGACGATTCTATATATATTGTATTTAAGAGTGACAACAGGAATTATGAAAATACGGGACTGTAAACATCAGAATTTTGTGCAAATCACTCGTCCAACCTGTCGTTTGAATTCCTTCAGGCTCAAAATATCCTGCCGCATCCTGGGGCGTTGCGGCGAGCTTCCACCGGAATCCTGTGCGCTCGACGGAAGAGGAGATATGGATTCCGGTGAAGACAAACTTCTGATTTCTTCCTCGTTTGATGGTATCGTGATTGTCAGAGTTGGAGTCGGCCTCTTCAGCGACACTTCCGGATCCTTCCCGCTTCCGCTTGGAGCATGCATTGTCGCATCCGTATCCGATATAATGCGAATTAGTGGTTTACCACGATTAGCCTGATTGAAGGAACATAACAATTTCAAAGTAACAATAAAATTAAAATTCCTATTATTCTTTTGTTTGGAACAAAAAATACATTTTTCATTACTGCGAATTTCGCAGTAATCAATAACAAATAATGCCCATTCATTGTAATACATGTAATATTTGTCATAAATGAATTAGTATTTTAAATGAAAGTACCGAAAACATTTTGTACTGTTAGATATGCTCAAAAGAGCAATGGCACCTAATCTCTTGAATTAAATAACATTTTGTTATTTTTAACTTTTATATATATCAAGATGCAAATCATTTTTGTAGATTGTTTCAAAGCAAACAACGTCCATATTATTGTATGCACTTAGTAAAAGCTAAATTTGAGTCAAATGTAATATATTTTCTTGAGTTAAATTGTTTAACTCCGTTGTTTTAGTTAAATTAACGACATATTGAGTAGGAATAAAGGCGATCTGTAGAAATGATTAAAAATAACTGAAATTGCACTCAGAGAAAAAAAAGAACCATCTTTTATAATGGCAACTGTATAAGTGATAATTTTTACAATTTTTATATGTGGAATTAATATACATATAATTAAATAAACTATTTTATAATTATAATACTAAAGTAAATAATTTTCTAATTATTTACTTAAAACTAAAATTGAATAATTACAAGAACTAATAAATTACTTTTATAATTATTCAGTTTTAGTTACAATAACTGTAAAATAGTTTATTCTCTATGTGTACATTAATTCTACATATTAAATTTGTATAGATGTCTCCTATATAGTTGCTACTACTATGTCTTTTTCTCTGAATATAAGTATAATTTAATACTACAAATTTAGCAGTGTATACTTGGAAACAGAAGAAACAAATTCACAGAAAGAATGCTGAAATACTTACAAATTTAGATAGATCTAGATCCGAAAATAATTTTGTTGGATCATCAAAATAATTATATGAGTAATTATATGAGCTTAAGTTTGATATGAGCTTTGTTAATTGGTTGCTCGAAAATCTTGGTTACTCCAAAATCTCATCTACGGACGTTATACGAGTGCGATTTTAGCCAGGGGACTGTCTTGAAGAAATTCGCCTTAAAATGGAACCGTCTGTCTTAACGGATACGCTCGCGATGCGCTGATCAAAGAAATTCAACGGGCGCGGTCGTGCACGCATGTTGCCGTGGATATTTTTAAGTCGGCACTTGTATGCCACGCGTGTCGCGGAAAAGGAATTTTGCGGGCTGTTCTTATCGAACTGCTACTCTTATGACGCGAATGAACGCCGCTTCATTGTGATAACAAATTGCAATGTGCACTCAAAAAAATATTTTGCTGCTCCAGCTAGAATGATCACTGTTTTTTGTATCTAATAAAAAATTACGTATCATATGCATAGAATTTATAGCACAAATCTAAATTCCATCTCTGTCATCTATATGATTAGATGCAATATATATATCCAATATCGCAGTACTTGCTAAAAATTTAACTGTTTAGTAGTATTTTTTCGTACTTAGATCATTTTCGCTATAACTGTAAGATCACTTTTTTGAGTGCGGTACGTAATTCCGTAAAATAAAAATTACATTTGCAGAATACTACAATTAATTTCTCCATCTTAATATTACTCCTCCTTAATATAACTACCTCATTAGGAGATTCTATGGAATCGGCGCTTTCCGTGACGGAAGTGTCGCGATCGAGCGATCGACCGTACCGATCTGGATCGTCCTTTTTTTTATCATCCTTCACAAAAGACGATTGTCGGTCCGGATAGTTTATGATATTTTTGCGCGAATCTAAAAAGATGTATCATTATTATATTATTATTAGAATAATCGTCTCCTTTTATTTTATAGGAAGACTCAAAATTACTGATTTATTATATTATTTATTATATAGAGAGATATTATCATTTTGTGATATTTTGATAAAAGAAGACAAATATATCCTTGTTGTTGTATTATATTTTCAATACATTAATTATTGAATATATTTAATAGAATATCAAGTTTAAGATCGTACTTTTAAAATATTAAAATCCTTATTCATTCATCACTATAATTTCATATTGTGACGTCAGAAGCGAGAAAATACATAATAAAAATGTTTACAAATTATATTCAAAATATTTTTTAATATTTAAAAAATAATTTTAAATATTTTAAGAAAACAATATTTGTAATTGATAGAAGAATATAGTTAAAAAATATAGGTACTGAAAATTATCTTCTTATTTCGGAGAGAAATTAAATCCTATATTGAAATAAATATTATTTTAATATATATTATATATTATCAATTTGACATTTCGTTAGCTCCTTTCGTTTTTCATTATGCATAACTCATTTCCACATAGATAATTATTTATTAATTAATGAAACAAAAAGAGAATTTTTGGTATGTTTTACAAGTCAGTTTTATGAATTGTGTTGTTTTATTGGCTGCATTCAACAGAGAAGACAGCTTTACAACTGTTGTAAAATTCTTTAATATGAGTGGTTGATATATTTAGATTCAGTAAGGAACCAAAATCAATCATATTAAAGAATTTTATAACAGTGGCAAAGCTATTTTTTCTGTTGAACGCAGTCATTAAAACATCTCTTCCAAAATTATCATTAAAACAATTTCCATATTAACATATTTTGCAAGGTTTTATTTTGTTTTCTCGCTTCTCACGTCACAATGTACCATAGTAATAATGAACGAACGAGAGCCTTAAATATTTCGATAATCCTCTATTAAGCAAAAATCTGCTTATAGCTAATCAGAAGCTTTTATATATATCTATTATCAATTTACAATTTTGAAGCTTGGTCCGCGAAGACCCTTCATTTTAAAACGACCCCGATAGTGTTTCAAAATTTCTATCCTAAACCAAATTGCCTCTGAATTAATGAATGTATAATGCAGCATCTACTTTAGAGGACGCTTTGTGAAAACAGTAGATGCATATTCTCACCGTCAAACACATCGTCGGTGGACGACGACGTGGACGATACTCTGCCAATCGGCGTGGATGGGCTGGAGACTTCGCTGGTGCAGGGCGACAGAGCCGATCCGGTGCTCCAGCTTCCGGCGATGTTCGCATCTGGAATTCGGAGATACCTCGTTGTCGGCGTCGACGACGTAGTCGCTGGCGTGTCCGATTCCGCGATATCCGCGAGATCGTTCGTACACGCGCGCTCCCATTTGAAGGCCGCCTTCACCCTGGTCCACTTGCTGATCTTCGGACCGCCGTTGCGACCTGC